ATTTTTATTTCACTTCGATACCACCAATTTATAAGAAAAAAAATATTAATATAAAAATATATCTCTCAATTGTGATCCTGCTTTCTCGCAATTCTTGCTTGAAGCCAGATATAGTTAGTTAACAGATTTTTAGTTTTTGAAACAGTTAATCATATATCTTTTTTCGAGCTTTCTCAAAAAAAAGGGAATAGAATTAGGAAAACGGCAGACAATTTAAGTCTCACGTTCATGAGGGTCTAGCGAAAATTCTCTAAACAAGTGCTCACTACCTGACCCTCCTTCTGGTATTTATTTTTGAATTTCAGCTAACATTGCACCAATTTCAGCTAACATTAAATCTATTTCTATTGTTTGAGATGACGAAGAAGCCTGTATTTGGGGTTTTGAACTGTCGCTTGTCTCTGGTTCAGAGTCAAACTTCTCTGATTCTGTATCACCTATAGCGTAATTCTTTCCTGCATCTAGACGGACAATCTTATGTTTCAATGCTATTCTGTTAAGAAGATCAAGATGCTGATGAGTTGGGTTTGGTTCGCCATAGACTCTGCAAGCATGCTTATCTCATATTTTTCTTAATATTTTAGGCGTAATTTTATGAGGCTTCAGGAATTCGCTAAATGCTTAGTGTTCCGCTTTTTATTTTTACTAAAGGTGGGTCACCCAACTTTCTAGCCTTTATAGCTTCTTGAATCCAGATGAGTAGTGTTCTTGCACGTTCTGGATTCTTCTCCATGGCAAGAAATGGGTGAGGCTCTGGATTATCCTTATTTTCTCTTTTATTCTTAGCATATCTAGTACAATACCAAGAATAACCGTTTTTATACCATACTGGAGGACTGGAAGTGTTAACTTCATAGTGATTGATCTGGAGGCTAGATACTTCAGCTAGCCTCATACACAACATCATCATTATATCTGCAAGATTCTGTAATAAGGGATCATTAGTAGTATCGATATTCTGAATCCTTTTAAGTCCCTTTTCTAAGGAGAAATATGGTGAAATTTTTAACTGATTATTGGCTACATCTCACTCAGTCCATTCTTTCTAAATTTTGTTAGAAGCTGTAATAACATTCGAGTCTTTGGCATAAGTATCAATTAGTTCACGAGCAACACCAACTTTCAGCAATTCATTACGAAATAGTGAGAGCCGTGAACAACCGGCAACAATTTCTTTATCATCATTATTTTTTGAACCTATGTCATGAGAATGAATGAAAATGTTCCACTTATCACCAGTCTTAGCACAATATTTGCTCTTTTCTCTATAGTAAGTTTTTTTTTTCTCTTATCTGGTACAAGAGCCTCTATCTGCTCTTTGCTAAATGCGCATATTTTATTAGTGCGTCTGGCAAGAAGATCTTTAACATACTTGCAGGCCTTCCAATCATGCAATTGAATATTAAGTTCTAGAGCATGTTCTCTTAATTGTTTTGGAGTGGAGTCGGCCGTCAAATTATGCTTTTCTAGGAACTGCTCTAAAACCAATACAAAGTTATTAGTTTTGGGCTTTCAGGTCTTTGGAGTGGTTGCTTTAGTAGACATGTTAACGATAAGTAGATTGCAATTATTACCTATATATAAAATTATATTCTAAAAAACTTTACCTAGTTATACTAATCTATTTATTTTTCAATTCGAAAAAAATAATTAATAATTTGAGATTTTATTTTGCCTAATTGTAAAGAACCCTCTTATCCAAATACCTCACTTGTAAACCAGCTTCTTATTCACTCTTTACCAAAGCATACCGTTCTCCTGAAGTATGCTTATATTTTTTGCCATTCCCTATCGGTATCGAGCCATGAGGATGTAATTCCTTTTTCCTCAAGTTCACGCCAAATAATCTCTTCTCCTATTAATCTTTCTTATACTGTCATTTTCATATTTTCATTTAGGTCTTCTTCACTCTCTTTTGCATAACTGCACATTCGTGCATCCATTTCTATTTTATAACAAAATGCAGCAGAATCGAGCCTGTCCTTTTCTGTGATAGTTACAAATATATCAGGATCTTCACCAAGTTCGATTGCCATTTTTCTAAAGCACTCTTCATGCTGGGCCCTGCTCAGAAGTATTGTAGATAATACTTCATTGATAGGCTTAGAAGAATCAGTTTCTTTAAAAGGTATATCAGGCACCACTTCACTTATAAGCTCAATAGGTTCGGGAAGCTTGCTAGTTTCGAGCTGGTCCTTTTAAGACCGCTCAACGATTTTTGGCTCAGGTAGGTTAGACGTCTTAGTAGTTTCAGAAGTCCCAGATGTTGAAGCAACTAGTGCTTCGGCTTCTTCTTCCACATAGTCAAATAGAGCTTGGGTTATATTGTCCTGTTTATCTACTTTCTTATTACTAAATAAAAGAATCTTTTCTGGTTGAGACAGAGCTGTTTTTGAAGAAGCATTTTCTGGCATATTAAATATTGATATATCTGTTGTCTCATTTTTGGGTATGTCAGATTGAGGTATGTTAGAGAATTCTTCAATATTGCCTAGGCCAGACTCACGAAGCTTAACTATGATTTTAGGGCGGTTAAGAATATATTGCTATTCCCTTTTTCCATTATCTACTCACTCCTGTTTATACTCAATAATATTTTTTTCCAATAGCTTCTTACTGAAAATATTGTTAGATAATGGCTTTTCAACATTACCCCACACCATTCAAGATATTTTTGATATAATACTTTCTTACTTAATATAAGTATACTATTCTCAACCCAAGATGCAATGTGGTCAATTAAAATCAGATAGGATTTGGAAGCTGTTCACGCATTATATCTACTTTCATTTTGGTTGCAGGAATTTTTCTAGGACTCCAATTTGATAAATCACGGCTAAGAAGATATGACATAACTACTCCTAGTGCATCAGGATAGTCTAGAATTTTCCCTAGTCAGTCAAAATATGGTATATTACCTCTACAGCGTGCTGAGACATCAAAACAGACTATATGAGAATCTCCTATATCTATTTTGAATGGGCATCCTGATTACTTGTAACCATATACC